GGTATGGTTATATGCATGCTGTGTTACATGCTTTTGCTGTTTTGGAAATGCTGTTGAGCTGTTATATGCTAGTGCCTTTATGATATGCATGTGGTGTTCCACCTATACGGTAAGCCTGAGTATGTAGTACATACAATATGGTGAGGCTGTGGGTGAGGTGCAAGCGATGTTCCTTGTACTACATGTGGGTGATAGACGTATTCCTGCATTTCTCTGGCCAGTAGAATAGTTAAACACACATGGCATGAATATCTGTTGCACTGCATTGAGTTTTGGAACTTATATTGAATTACTGCTTTTGGAACTTATATTGCACATGTAAGTGAGCTTGGGGTGGAAGATCATTGAGGACCCCTTGTCTTACTGAGATTTCTTGTTAGAGATCTCACCCCACGTTTGGGAATGCTTATTTCAGGTTCAGGTAATGCGGGGCTTGATACCTCTAGTGGCAGGAGGCCAGAGCTTAGCAGATAGATGTTACATGTTTATGCTGCTTATGCTGACATGCTGCTATGATTGAATGTTGGATCCTATTTACTGTTTTATGCTTTTAGCTTCAGTTTATGGATTTCTCTGTTGAGACTCTGTTGGTTATGCTGTTGATTTGGTGAGCATGGGGATTATCCATGCCACATAGACTTATTCATTTCTTGTTTTATGTTGGAGTTGTATTAATGTATCAGGATTATTGTCCGGACTACGTGTAGTGGATCTGTGACATAGATACTCACTTTATCTATATTATGAGGTATTTCAGTTAGATGTCTTTTTGCAATTTACATACAGGCGATATTTTATGAAATTGATTAAGTAATCAACTTGGCTAAGTATAATGACATCATAATTGAAAAGAAAAAGATATTCCGCATTTTTAATTAAACGCAGCTTAATACAATGATATGTTAACAAACCGAGTATACACGGGGTGTTACAACTGCAGAAGCGGTCCAACTACCTGTTCGGACCGGGGAACCCACCGGGTCACCGAGTCCCGGGTCAACCCAGCCGGTCCGAGCCGGGTTTTAAAACACTGATCCAAATAAACAGGCTCTAAAAAAAGTCTTTTATTTAAAATATTTTTTTTTTACTTGAGAGCCTATTTATTTGGTCTTTTAGAAAAAGTAAATTTTATCTCTTCCTTATTTTAAAAGTATATTTTATAAAAGTTAAAGTTATTTATAAATTTATAAAAATATTTAGTTTTTGAAAAAAATAGTTGACTTTTGACTTCTTAGCTTCTAAAAAAATTAGATTTTTGGCTCTTTTTTTTTGTGATTTCAGCATTTTTTGAAAGCAGACATCCAAACGAACTTAAAGTGAGAAATATTTTTTCCCCAAAAAAGTAGCTTTTGGAGAAAAAAAAACTCATCCAAACGGACCCTTAGTTATAATTTGAATAAATAAAGTCAATAGAAAATTAACAATTATTAATTTTTATTGACAAAAAAAAATTTTAAATTTTTTTTCATATTAATTTAATGTATATGAATTATACAAGAAAATATTAAAAAAATTCTCATGATTTTATCTTTAGCCACCCTTTTTAACTATGTATTTTTTGAAATACATAATTATAATATTAAAGTTTTTTTTTCTCTCCTTAGTTATTTTTTAGAACCCATCGACTGTGTGGAAAGAGACAAAAAATAACTTTAACCTTATAAGTTATAACTATAAGAGAAGGTTATATTTACAAATTTTTTATTTACACACTCTTACAAATCACACTATATCTTACCGATCATATTTCAATAAAAAATGTATGATCGATTAGACTTGGTGTAATTTGTAAAAAAATTTTATAAACGAAACCTTTCTCGTAACAATATATTCTTGAAAATACATAGTTAATAAAAATGAAGAGAGAAAAAAATAACTTTAACGTTATAATTATATGTTTTTGGAAATACATAGTTAACAAAAATAGCCGTAGATAAGCTTATTTTGAATGAAAAATATTTTTTTCATTTAACATTTGTGTTTGTTTCGTACAGAAATATCTTCGCCCGTTTTCAGTTTCACCAGTTAAATCTTGCCACATATAAAATAAGGGAAAATTGTGTATCATTTTAAAGGATGCAAAGTTATGTCATTTTAAGTGAGAGAAAAAGATAGATAAAGGAGGAGAGAGAGTGTACAAAAAATATAAAGGTGTGGGTCCCACCTTTTTATGAGAGTGAAATGACATAAGTTGTGTTATTTAAAAGGACAAACAATTTTTTCATACAAATCATTTATTTAAACGGAAAACACTTTTTCTTTTAATAGAAAAATTGTTTTCTCATGTTAGTGAGAGATCGTTTTACGTGTAATATTTTTTTTATTTTTTTTATTTATGATGGGACCTATTTAATTATGTATGTGGAGAAATTTTTGTAATCTTATGTTAAATAAGAAATGCAAAACCCTTATTTAAAATAGGAAAAAAAACTTCTCATGTTGCATGAGAAATCTCCTCTCCTACCATTCTCACTTCGATGTCCGTGCCAATTATTTTTTTATTTTTTATTTTTTTCTTTAAAATGGAATCCATCCCTTTCTCTCCGTAAGAAAACTTAAATTTCTTATCCAATAGAAATTGCAAGCACTTTAAAATATGTTACCGCACCATCTGTTCATAACCCCTCCGTGTAGAGCGAAAAGTAAAACAGAGTAGTGCAGCTCAAGTCATACGGTTAAATAATAATGATTCGCATAAAACTGTTTATTTCCTCAAGGTAAGGGATTTGCCACATGATTTGACACTTAGCATGTGCTAATTGTATATACAAAACGAACTTTATATAACTTTTTCTATAACCACCGACCCATGACTGACTAAAGGTCAATGTAAATGCAACATTTTCAAATGCTGTAACCTAAAGTGTAGGAATGGTTAATAAAACATTCATGACGGTCTATTTAAAAAAAAAAAAAAATTCTTAAAGGGCCAAAGACCGATATAGGAGAATAACATAAATAATTTATTATCATGTGGATGAATTGACATAATTGTTTCAACTTAATCAGTGGGGTAGAAATTTTTTTATTATGTCCGACTTGACCGAACTAATTAATTAATCAATGAGTCACTACCAATTAAGTTACAAATTCATGAGCTTATAAATAAAGGTTTACTTTATTGGGCTCAAAGGATAGGATTGGTCCAATGCAATTAAACCAATAAAATGGCTTTTCAAATAGTTACAAGCCAGTATGAGATAATTTATTAAAGCGTGATTCATGAGGGAGATCACGCACAGCCTTAACTCTCCACCCTCCAATAGATAAGGACCTACAGACTTTGTCATAATTTGAATGAACAAAGTCAATAGAAAATTAACAATTACTATTTTTTGTTAACAAAAATAAATTTTATAATAATTTTTTTATATTAATTTAATGTATATGAATAGTATAAGAAAATGTAAAAACAAAATTCGCATCAATGATTTGATCTCTAGGTTCTTAACCGCACATAATAAAATTTATTATTAGGAAATTTTAGTATTTTAATATAAGCTCGCGAATAGAAAATATTGTTTTTGATGTATGATTTTTTTTTCAAGATTATAAAATGTTTTCACACCTATTAAGTGTAAAAATAATCCCTACTAAACTCTCGGTTTGGCCCTTAACTGGAGAGACAACCTGTTGGTTTAACGTATATAATGGATTGCAAATATATTATTTGCGTTAAGTCGTTAATTGCTGGAAGATCTAAATTAGTTTTTATTATACGGCAGCATGCTTATCGAGGATAAATTATGTTCTTTCATAATATTTTAATGGATTTCTAGTATTTAAAGCACAATGTTTGTAATAAAGCAAATCCCTAATCTTTTTTTTTTGGGTCTAAAACGAGAACACAACTAATTTTATTATATTTTACTTAACTGGTGCTACACTCAGCAAACACATAAGCGAGAACAAACTAATTTTATTATATTTTATAAGCTTGGTTTGATATAGTCCAACACAAAGCCCCGTAAAGCAACCTAACATTTTCTGGTGTTTGTTTTTTTCTCGAAACTTTGTTTTATGATCTGTCCCATTCTATCTCTGTCTCAATCAGTCCCAATTGAGCCAGTTGGCCCAGTCTAAGTTTCCACCATTTGTAAACACGAAGCACATTTAGCAGTAATTATAGGGAAGAGTTTAAATTTTTTATCCAATTTTATATTTACATGGTTAATAATTGCATAAAATATTAAATTTATTAAATAATGTGACAACACATAAATAATAATATAAATCACATTGGACTTACTATGCATTGTTCTGTCCGACCCCATATATATCAAATTTATTTGCATAATATAAATCAAATTTATCGATTAGAAGTCTAGAACCGGACTAATTCAACTTGAGTTCTGTCCGACCCATATATAGAAGAGCTCTCAACTCGCGATATAGTAGGACAAGAAAAAGAAACTCCTTAATACTCAAACCAATAATTATTGGTAAGTGAGACAGCTCTTCTGAAGCGAGATATCTCACAACCACTAATGTAAAAAAGTTATAACATTTTGATTAATCATTGATGATGAAGATTATATTTACAAATTTTTTTGTTTGAAAATTCTTACAAACTACACTATGTACTTTTGGAAGTACATTAGGTTACATTATGTACTTCCGGAGTACATAGTGTAATTTGCAAAAAATTTGTAAACTTTTTTTGTAACGGGCATTGTACCTCTTACTTTCAAAAAAAAAACAAAAAACAAAATTGAAATGGCTAGCTACTTTTCCTATAAATTGTAAGATAAAATAGTAAGGGAAAATACTAGAATAGATATGGAACAATTTTACTTAGAAATACTTAAATACAACAGTATATTTAAGAAAAAAACAAGAGAAGAACAAAAGACCCAAAATGGAATATTAATTTCTTAACCATTTTGTAGTCCTGTAGCTCACACATATATTGCAAAAACAAAACTATAGTTCAAGTTGATGGAAACAGATTCACTTTATCAAGTTCCAAGAACAGCTCATGATAATGCTATGATCCCTTTTCAACTTCCATTGACTTTCTTACAATCGGTTCTGATTTCTCCCTGAGTTCCCGTTAAAGGGCTTATATTACCCATATTGATCATTGACTGAGCAAAGGCTTCGAAGAATGCTGTTTGGTTGTTGGCAAAGTTGTTAACAATGGAGATTGTGGAAGAGCCATTAGTGGAAAAGAGTTCCTGGTCTGTTTGTAGAAGACCCTGGTTGATAAGAAGATTGCTGAAATAGTTATTGTCAAAAGTGTCAGCGGATGAAGGGTCAAGGTTGTTCAAAGTTGACCCATTTCCATTTTGTGGACAATTTTGCTGAAGAGTAGCCAAATATGTTGAATTCAGTGTTGGATCAGGGCTTCCAGTGCCACTGAAGTTGAACAGCCTTTGGGAGAAAGATAGGCATTGGGCACGACCAAAAGTATGTGCACCTATAAAAGTCCAATTTGACTCAATCAATCAATTATTTTTGTAATTACAATTCGTGTTACATGAAGGAAGACGCTTGATAGAAATAATTAACTAGTTATATATATTTACCAGATAATGCAACGAGATCATTTGTGTTTAAGCCAACAGCAGTAAATTTGGATGTGGTGTTGGCTAGGCTTCCAAATGGAGAAGGAATAGAGGTGTTGGCCCCAGCTTGGTTCGCAGTTAGACTGTCCCTTCTTCCAAGTAGCACGTTCCATGAAGGACCCCCTGACTGCAAAATTTCACTCTCAATAAAATTTCACCTTGCACATGTTCACATATGTAATGCCTATAAGCTCCTAAACCTATCAACTTATACCAGCATAAAACTAAGAATTTTTACACAGTTGATTCTATTCCATCTAACAGTTATAATTGGTTTAGAATAAGAATCCACGTGAACAATTACATGCAAGTAGAATAAACAGTTAATAATGAGTGTAAGAATTCTTATTTTTATACGGGTCTATACTGCTCTCTCCATATATATAAATACTTGCATTCAAGTAGTTATTGATCTACTTGCATCTAACGGTTCACATATCTAATAGATTAGAGCCATTGGTTAGATAAAATTAATGGTTAAGTTTAAAAAGGTTTCTAAAACCGTGTCAAATAACCCTGCCATATATATATATATATATAAAATATTTCTACAGCCACTTTAGATAACATTATTTATAGTTATTTATTTTTTAACTAAGTCTGATCAGTAAAACATAATTATAACAATAAAGCTATTTTTTCTTTTTATGTCTCACCGGTCAGATTTGGTTAAAAAAAAAAAAAAGCTGTGGGCAACTTTATCTAAAGTGGTTATAAAAATATTTAACCCTATATATATATATATACAGAGTGAGAGAAATCTTGTAATACGTAGGAAGTTACCAAGCTCACGGAAGATTCAGCTGCAAGAGCAAGAATATCAGCACAAGATACAACGCCAGGGCATGAACTTTCAAGAGAGCTCTTGATGTTGTCAACTACACCAAAGCCCCGAATGGAATTGAAGTTGGGAGCAGCATTTTTCTCGCTCTGTGTGATGTTGCCACCCTGGTCTAACAAAATGGAGGCATCACATCCCTAAAACACAAAGGAGAAGATTCATTAGTTGTTTAAGCATAGTTATATATCTGGCAGTTCACGAGAACCCTCTAATACAACAAAAATTACAATAGTTATAATCAAGCTTCATAAGAAAATTAAAGATTGTAGGTTTAAGTTATGAGATTTACATTGACAAAGCAATCATGAAAATGGAGGCGAGTGAGGCTTGCGCCAATACGGGAATCAGATTGCAGAGCCTGCTGAACAGCATTCCTTACAATTGATGACACATTCGAGCATGTACTTGAATAGAAGGTTGCACTTAATTGAGCATTTGAAGGAAAAAGTAGCGTTAGAAAGAAGAAAATGGGAGCCAATAAGGAATAAGCAGTAGTAGAAAGCATGGTTGATTTGTTCTTTCTTCTTTCTTGCCGGGTTTTGTGATTAATATCTAGGTGACATGCGTATATATAGAAAAGAAAGCGCGTCTTGCATTTATTAGTTTATAATTTTCTTTAAGATAAATTTTTCACTGGTTATTACTTTAGAATTTTCAAATAGACGTAGTTTAATATATATTACGATCTCTAATATGTAGTGGGTATGCTAGGAGACATGGAAAAGAAAATTATATCCATAGTGATCGACAGATAACTAACTTATGAGTTGGCCAGGTAATTCTTAGCATTAACTATTAATTGCTTAAGAATTTGTGAATTGCACGCTATAACATAGGGGCGGACCAAGGAAGGAGCTAGTACCGTCGCCCCTTCTCTGAATTTTTATTTTTATTTTATTTTATGTATAAAAAAATATTAGGATATTAGAATTTATAATTGGAGAATGATTCATTTAAAAAAAATTACAAATTTTTACAAATTACACTATATACTTCCAGAAGTACATTACTAATCGAGTATACTTTCGAAAATATTTATAATAATTTGTAAATATAATTCACCCCTTTATATATAGTCCAATCTTCAAAAATATTTATAATAATTAATATTTTTTATTAGTCTTGATAATACTTAAAATTTTAAAATTTTATTTTCGCCCAGTTGGGTCTGCCACGATTGTGACATATAAAAAATTATAGGTCCAACAAGAGATAAATACGAATGAAAAATTTCTGCCAGCACAATTCAAAATCACCTTATTATCATGCCAATGAAAACTTGATTCGTTATTTCAATTTATCGGAATTTAAGTTACTCAATTAAGATTAATCATTTTTCCTTTGCATAAACCCTTGTTCACCATGCTTTTTGTAGTGGGTGAACGTGAAACTTTATGCTAATATGTCCGTTATTATTATTAAATTAACCCATGAGTGAGACACCATAACAATTCCTTTGGCTAATAAATTAAATAATATATCTATCAATTATTGTCCTATTACGAATTCTAAAATACAAATAACGCCTGCATATAATATCTAATTTGAAAAAAAAAATTGCACATTATAAATCAAGACTCAAGCCTTGCTATATATATATATATATATATATATATATATATATATATATGTATAGAAAATTTTGTTGTGTCATGTTAAATGATAAATGTAAACCTATCATAATGAAGTTGAATTTCAAAATAAAAAAATGCCCCTTTTTTAAATTTAAAATACAAAAATTTCGAAAAAATATTTCTTTCTAAATTAAAGATTATTATCATAAAGATTATTATCATATAGGGTTTGACGAAACGAATGAGGTGAAGTTATATATAATTTTATATAAACTTCACGCAACTCGTAAACTTGTTCTTCAGATAATATGATAATCCCAATCTACTTTCTTAGATATTAAGTAAGCGAGTGAAAACATTGCCAATCATTTGAGCACCGACACTGATCTTTTCTTCCTGTGGTCAATTCTATTGTCTTATCCACCCCCACCTCTTTTTTTTTTTTCATGTATTTAGCTGTCAAACAAATTATAGTATTCATCTAGCATGACATTTTAGAAAATGTCTCAATTATATCTTGAAATTCTCTGGGCCTAGAAAAGTTTGCCAAAATTAAGAAAGAGCGCTACGTCGTTGTTTCATGTTTTTATTCCTTCTCAGTAGTGGTTAGAGATATATATCATCAAAGTCTTAGTAAAAAGACAAAACATAATAAAGGTATCTCTTACAGTCACTCACTTATAATGGTTAATTACGACTTGCAGGAATCTCCAGCTCTCCGCAATCAAGGGGGATCGTACAATTTACAGGGTCATCAGCATGCATTTCCACACAAATTTTCCAAGATATTATGATTGAATAAAAATAACTACTTTATTTTATGTTTTTGATACGAAACCCAACAAATATTTAGGGGATGCTAGCTCACTCTACGCTCTCGCTAAAAAATTGTAAATAAACATTTCAATTAATTAAGTTATGTCATAAAGTTTAATATATTTTTTTGTAAATTAATATTTTTTATTTTAAAGTTGATTTTATTTACTACTAGTGTCCAAAAAAGAATAAAATCATGCTTGTTTTTGTTTCTTTATTTTTTTAAAAATAAAATAAAATTGTTTTAAATTCATTTAAAAAAATTATATTTTTGAAATAAATTAATCTGAATATACACAAAATATACATTGTATCTGTAGGGGTGAAAGTGGGATGGGCGCTGGGCCAAGCTTTGCCCCGAAAAGCCCAAGCCTACGTCAAAAAATTTCAATTTGGCCTAGCCCAAGCCTAGTATGAGTCTAACTGTTAGCCTGACTTGACCCGTTTATAAAAAAATAAATGGCCTGACCTAGCCCGTTAGCCTTTTAAATTTTAACTTTCAAGCAGAACCATGAATCAACTTTACAAAATACTCAAATTCTGTTGCTAAACGAAAAATTATAATTTCAACATCCAAACAGAATCATGAATCACAACAAAACTCATACAATATGCATTTAAGTCACTTTCAAAAGCAAAATGCTCAAACTAAATAACATATATTTCATCAGATCCAATAAACAAATCCATACTATGTAAATTAAAATAACTACATGAATCCAACAAACACATTATGATGCTTGTAGTAAGTATAATCTCTCCCAAAAATCTTTTAATATATTCATATACACAATCTAACATGCAGAGATGTTGGTTCCTCCTACATAAGAAATAAAGTCATATTTCTATTAAAATATAATCGAATATAATTAAATTATAAATAATTGCAATTGATTAAATTTATATCTTTTATTTTTTCTTCCAGGCATATTATTCTATTTTATTTAATTTAAAATAAATAGTACAATATAGGCCGGCCTGTAGTCTTATAGGCAAGCCTTGTGAAAGTGGGCCTACGACCTTTTTATTAAACAAGCTTTTTCAAGGCTCAAGCCCAGCCTATTTTACGAAATATAATAAGTTAGGTCTGATGTGACGTAAGCCAAGCCGTAGGTCCCTGTAGGCCGCCCGGCCCAATTTCACCGCTAATTGTTCCTATGGCCACATATCGAGATTGACATTTGGGCCAACAACTAATTTAATTTTGAGTTATTATAGTGTGTCATTACTTCATCAAATTTGACATCTTTAAATAAAACCTCTTGTAATGAAGTAGGGATTAAGTGATAGTTTAATCTACAAATTTTCAATTCTATACTTTTAATTTAAAATATTTATCCATCTACATGATATATTAATGTAATGCTTACAAAAAAAACTTGTGGCAGTCTTTGGTATTTTCATCCATCCAAAATATTACTATCTCCTAAATCAAAAATCAAAAATATATGGTAGTGGTATTTTTAGTGATTTTATTAAACTTTTTGGGCTGTATAACAATACTCCTTTTTTAAAAGAACAATGATTCCGCCTAATCATCTCCAATTAGCTCAACAATAAATGACCATGAATTTAACCAATATGATCAAATAGCGAAATTTGTCAGGCTAAAGACAACCTAGAGAGAGTTTGTCTTCAGCCAGAGAAATCGCTTGAAAGTTTAAGACGAGTGTGACAAAATGTTGAAAAAATGGGTTGACCAGTTTATTTATTTATTTTTTTAATTTACCAATTTACTCTATTGTTTAAATTATTCATCAATTTATTTCATCAAAGTTGAGTGAGTAGATTCACCTTAAAGTCAAACTTCATATTTTGCATGACTTCAATTTTTATTTTTTTATATTTACTCGAATAAATAATTTATTCAAATAAATATTACATTTAATTGGTTAAATAATTTACTAAAAGAAATAATTTATTTACTTGAATAATTTGTTTACTAAAATTAATAATTTATTCACCTTTCCAGATGTCGCCAGACTTACCACTACCATCCTTGTTGCTGCAGACTCGGCTACCCAATGCCAGATGGATAAAATGAGATGAAAGATCATATTCCTTCGTCAAACCACCCACTTAAACCCTCAGTCAGTCCTACAGGAAGTATGTAACACCCCGTAATACTCCGATAGTGAACATCATGATATTATAGCGTACACAACGAAAGAATTTATTTAAAGTTTAATAATTCGCCTTGTAAAAATACGAATAACATCTCAGTAAGTTCAAGGTTCATAGAGGATCCTCTATTCCCCTAAGCCCACTTCCTGCATGACAAGTCAGATATAAAGCATATAATATAGGCATACAACATAAACATAGCATCATCATATCATCCTTGTGTAACCCCAGGGTTAAAGCCATAGACGGTTACACATGTGTGACTCCAGAGTCAAGCCATAGACAGTCAATACAATCTCAGTATGAAATAGCTCCCAGAGTCAAGTCATAGGCAGCCTACATACCATGATCACTGGCCAGGATTCTCATAACATATATCATCAGTGCATCATCATAACATCAAGAATCATATAACATCTATATGAATGTGAATGAATGCACATATACATTATACCACATACTTTCATACAATTCAACCATAATGCCCACCATCATGGTGGGGCCACAAGAGAGAGGAGCAACCAGAACTAGGAGCTTATTTCAAAGAGCTTAGCACAAGCCCACACTCCAATATAATACGTATGCTCCAATACAATCCTCAAGTGTAAGGTTCTCTAGGCACACCTAGAGTAAGAACCATTCACATCATTAATTACATAGTAATTAATCAAGTCATATACAAGACTTAACCATTTAATGATTTCACTTTCCATACTTATATGCCCATTACAAGTCTAGACCATTTATTACTTAATTACATATTTTTAGTGCATAAGGAATTATTCACTAAGTCCACAATAACTCATTAGACACTTAGTCCATTAATAAACTCTCTTAGATTAAGGCGTTTTCCACTTAACTTACAACTAATCAAGACATTTATCATCAATATATGTCATTCATAACCTTGATCATTAATTATTATAAGTTACTAAGGGTTCCCATAAATCCACTTAGCCTAAATCTCACTTTTACGATTTTCCTATAACTG